CCTCTTACAGGCAGGGTCCCTGTCACGTTGGACTGCACGTTCGAAGTCTGTGCACTGCCTGTAAAACAAAAAAATAAGTATGTACACAGATTCACCACAAATACACCGCCTGCAAAAGAGCAGCTAGTTTTGTCCTGCAGTCACTGCTCACCTTCCTCACCGGGCTCACCTTCCCTCTGGTGCCTATCGTCTGCTGGGCTGAGGGCTCTGCATCTTAAAGAAAAACCAAAAAACCAAAACTAAACCACCAAACCATCCAAATGATCAAGTAAACCTACGGCTAAAAGTCATGTCTTGGCTCTGACCTCACATGAGGACCCACCTTCTGACTGTGCTCCTCCAGCCTCCTCTGTTCATCTCTGCTTTACATCCAGCCTCTCTGATGCTGCAAAGAAATGAGTTAGCAAAGTCAGCCATATAGACAGGGCAACATTAACTGCTGTGCAATTCTAATTTCTCCTTACACAAGCCCTCTGGGGTCCAAAGACAGCCTGCACAAACAAACACTGACCTAACTTTAAGGGCCCTGCCGTACCGCTCCCATTGGCCCTGGACAAGCCCGCTCTCGTGACTGCACGCACGCTGCAGGCAGGGGCTGCCTCCAGGAGGACCGGAGAACTGCTGCCCTGAGTGGCTGAGCCTATCACAGGGTAAATGGAAAGTCTCCTTTCTACTCCACCTACCCCCAAGTCTACACTGCAGGGCAGAGCAGTTCCAGGCCCAACACAAACTCCAAGCACACATTTCCAGACAAGTGCTGTGGTACAACCAGGAGAGAGAACTCTGAGAAAAGAACGACACCAAAATGGATGTGCTGCCGCACGAGAAGACAGAGGATACGGCGAGACTGAACGGAGGAGGCTCTGAGGAGCCTGAAAACATACTCTAACAGAATGGCCTGGGACAAGAACTGCCTACAAAATTGCTAAGATGGATGGGAGACAATGCTATGCTCAGAATCTTCTTAGATTCTCACAAGTCCTAGGTGGGATGACAAGGGATGACTGCACGGCACAGCCACCGATACAACCTGTAAGGAGGCTGTAAAAGACACCTGACCTGACACTTCTCAGATGCGATTCCGATGCATGTCCAAGCTAGCGAGCCAAAGAACGGATGGTATGGGCACTGGGCTGGGCAGTGCAAAGGTTCAAGACCCTAGGAATGATGCTTTGACATCTCAGATAAGACCTTTGAGGGCAGGAAGCAAAGACACAGTGACTGTGAAGTGTAAGACACGAAACACAGACCGGACAAAGGACATGACACAGACCTGAATGGCTCTGCCCTGCACATCCTACTCCATGATGAAAAGTAAACTGCTCCTCCTCTGTGTGCCAAGGGCCTGTTAGGGCAGACCCTTTCCCCTGTGCTCATTTGAAAATCCCTCCCTCCTAAACATAAAACTGGACCCAGCTCTCATCCCCTCTCCAGGTGGGAGTCCTCCACTTATCTTTCCCACAGCTGGGGATGTGAATCCATCTTCAATGTGAAGGAAGGACGCCCGGCTGGCTCAGAGGGTCCTGTGATCCCTGACTCGGTCGCTGTGAGAAAGAAAACAGAAACTGAGACAAGAGTTGGGCAGCACGTGGGAGATAACCCTGCAATTGGCTACTCACCCTCCCCTGAGCTGAGAGGTTCTCGGGCCACTGGCTCCGACCCCAGTCGGAGGCTGCTGCCATCACCGTGTGCCGTACCTGGGGGAGTGAGAAAAAAAGTTACGTGGTGTTTCTGAAAGTAAGGGAGACCCCAGTACCTACTCCCTACCTCCCCAACTCAACCTCAATGCTCCTCCTTGGCCAAAGGCAGGCTGGATGGCACCTGCAACTGGGAAAGGTCGAGCCTTAATTGATGAGCCTCGTAGTACTAGGGGATTACTCACAAGGACAGATGAAGACCATCAAACCTAATTGGCAGGTGGCTCCGGCCCTCTGAGGCTGCACACATTCTCTGCAAAGTAAAAAAGCCAAAGGCAAATTTACAGACTGAGGTACTGCCTGAAAGGATGGCTTTCCTGTGGGAGCTCCTACCTACCTCTCCTCCACAGCAACCTCTTACCAGCAGGGGCCCTGAAGCACTGGACTGTCTGTTAGAAGGTGGCAGAACCCCTGGAAAACACAAGAAACAAAGCATGTGCACAGATTCACCACAACACCTGTAAAAGACCATCTAGTTCTGTCCTGGAGTCCATGCTCACCTTGCTCACTGGTACTCACCTGGATCACCTCCCCTCTGGTGCCTAGAGCCTCCTGGGACCAGGGCTCTGCAGCTGAAAACAAAGAAAAAACAAACCCAAAAAACAAAATCCTTAACACACAAGTAAACGTGGAGCTAAAAGCCACATCTTGGTGCTGATGTCAGGTGATGACCCACCTTCTTGCTCTGCTCCTCTGGCCTCTGTTCTGTTCAACTCTGCTTTACACCCTGCCCCTCTGACATGGTAAAGAAACCCTAACCAAAGTCACCCAGATAGATAGGGAGAGCTGAAAGAGTCTCCCTTCTCTTTAGGCAAACCACCCAGGGTCACTGCCTGCAGCCAAAGACTGCAGCTGTAATCGCACAGAATACCTGGGTGAATGAGAAGAAAACTTAAGTAGTACATCTGAAAAGTCAGTGGGTGGCTTCACAGGCATTTAGGGGGCTCCTGGACACTGCTTTCCACCCATACTACCTTCAAAAAAACCCTGGCAATTCCTAAGCTGGCACCCCAGCCCTCACTCTATCTGTGGGCTGTAACCCCCCACTGACTACTTGCAAACCTGGGTGTCTGTAGCCATCTTCAACACAGAGCAGCTTCACCTGAGGACTGGATAACACTGGTGAAAAAATGTCAAACTGCAGTTGAGATGATCAGGAAATCCCAAAATATGCAAGGCTCCTAAGGAAAAGAAAAACAGATAACCAATTATAAAAGCAGTTTACCAACACCAAGTTATTAAATTTAAAAACCCTGCATGTGAGTGTAATCCTCTTCATTGCCATATACAGCTCTGCTTCTTTGGATACCAAAGCTGATGCTTTAATAAAGCAGGAATAGCTTCAGAAGTCCCATTAAATGAAAGAAAGGGAGAGCTCTTATCCCATTGAAGCCTGCCTGCTGAAGGACTTCCCTGACCAAAGGCTGGGGTTAATATACCCCTGGCCGTGCCCACCTCCCTTCCTGTGAGGCCCCGGGGGAAAAAGAGTAGCCCAATCCAAGACGGTATAAAGGCTCTGGGAGCAGCAGCACCTGGTTTGCATCTCTGACTTAAAATCAGGATAGGTAAAGAGCCTGACGGAGAAAAGAATTCCTAACGTGAGCAGGTATTATAGTTGGTATTGGATTTAGGGTTGGTATTGGATTTGGGCAGGGGCTGGAGCAGAGGGACTGGAGCAGAATGGCGGGAGTTGGAGCGGGGCGGCGCGGGCTGCGGCGCCGGGAAGCGGAGCGGGGCGGCGCGGGCTGGGGCAGCGCGGCGTGGCCGCGTCCTACCTGCGGGACAAGGGTGAGCCTGGCGGTACCGGAACGAGGCGCGGAGGGGGCCGGAAGGAACCCCGGGGCTGCCGGGACCCTCCCGCGGTGCTGGGCTGAGCTCCCGGGGTGCTTCGCGATGGGGGATGTGGAGTGAGGTAATAACGAGAATCAGGAAGTGCTCCACGGACCCGCGCCCGGTTCGGTGGCTGTGCCGAGGTTTGAACCGGGAAAGAGCCGCTGTCCTGCGGTGAGGGCCGGGGGAAATGGCCTTACAATGAGAGTGGAGAGCTCTGCACAGAGGAAATAAAACTCACTGGGTTTAGTAGCTAAAATATCAGGGGAAATTACTGTCTGGTTACAGCAGTAAGCTTCCCACAGCAGTTTCAGGTGCCTGCCTTTGGAGACCAGCCCCAAAGTAGAAACTCCTCTCGACTGCTCCTGAGAGAGGCAATTGGAACTTTAGGTGCTCAGGAAAGCGATTTCCTCTCCTAAGTCCTGGTTCACCTGCCCAAGCACCTACAGTGTTTATATTCCACCTCACTCTCTGCTTTGCACGTTTGTATCAATAAAAGAAACTTCCAAGGTCTTCCTCCAGTCTGAGCTGCATCTTCTCTGCACCCCCACACTCTCCCACCTGTTCACGTGTGCTGCTCCCCTCTCCTGTGCTGCTTCCTGGAACAGGGCTCATCCCTCGGCACCTTCCTCGAGCGATAATCCGGGTACATCAGGTGCTTCCCCCAGCCCCTGCGAGATGCTCTCACCATCACTGCTTGAGAGATTTCCTGGGATCGACTGCTCCCCTGCAGAAGCTCCCTATAAAAAGTGCCCCACCGAGCACGGCCCGCCCCTTGTCACCCTCACTGCCCACACCTGGGGCTGTCCCGCCCCTTGTCACCCTCACTGCCCACACCTGGGGCTGTCCCGCATGGGAGGGAAGGACGGGGGGAGCCACAGGCGGGCGCGCGGGGAGAGGAGGCGGGGCGGGGTCGGCGCGAGCAGGAGGGAGGGGCAGGTGCCCGCTCCGCTTCCCTGTGGGCTCTGGGGTTCTTTTGGGCTGGTTTTGGGGGACTGCGCACACCCTCCCCTGGTCACAGCCCCGCCCCAGCTCGCTGCACCCAGCTGCACTCCCCGCACCCCTTGCTCAGCTCCGCGGGGATCTGTGCCTCCTCTGAAGGTGGCAAATGTCTACAAAGCGAGTCGGGAAGCCAGAGAGCTGCAGCCCCCGGGCCCCGCCGCGGTTTCCCCGCCGTCACCCGGCACGTCCTGCCCCGCAGCACCGCTCCCGCTGCTGCCCTCGAACACAAGGAACAAACCCCCGTGCCCCCAGCACAGGCCGGTCCCTCCCCGGCAGCCTCGGCAGCGCCGGGAGCGGCCGCAGCCCCCAACGACGGGCGGGGCGCGCCAGGAGGTGCAGCGCGGGGCGGGGGCGGGTCCCGCGGCTGCGACCCCGCGGGGAAGGGACCCCCGGGCCGGCCCCGTCCGGCACCGCCGCTGGCCCTGCTCGGCCACCGCCCCTCGCCCACAGTTTTAACATTAGAGAGCCAAGTTTAATCCAGAGCCTGCAAGCTCCCACGTGCAGGGGATTTCCACAGACTTGTTATTTTTCTCTTTTTAATGACCACGTTGCTAAAGTCAGGGAAATACAATCAACATTCCCTAAACACCATCACTTCTACATCCACCTGTGATCAGGGGCCGAAGGGCAGCAGCCTGCCCTGGACAGGCTGCAGGGATGGTGTGAAGGCCACTGTTCCCCAGGTTTGAAGGACTCTGGCCATGATCCCCGGCCCGTGGACAGAAAGCCCAGAGCCAACGGGAACTCCAGCCAGCTGCAGGCAGATGTTACTCCGTCCCAGTTTGCTGGGGGTGGGGACAAAGGTGCCCTTCCCCATTCAGAAGTGGAAGTTGTCCCCTGTGCAGAGCCTGCTCTGATCCTCGGCCTCGTGGGAGCCAATTCCCTTGTCCCAGCCCACTTCCTGCAGAGAAGAAAGGGAAAGATTGCACATAAGGAAGACATTTTTCCCTGGGAGGGTGGGGAGGCGGCCTGGTACAGAGAGGCTGTGGCTGCCCCATCCCTGCAAGTGGCCAAGGCCAGGCTGGATGTCTTAATAGAAACTGTCCCTGCCTGTGGCAGGGGATGGAAGGAGATGATCCCTGAGATCTTTTCCAACCCAAACCACTCCAGGATCCCCGGATGATTCCACACTCTCTCTCTGCATTTATTTGGCCGATGGCCGCGGGAGAGGCAGAAGAGCGGCCGCGCCCACCCGCCGCGCCCAGATTACCCCGGGGACGATCTCCGTCGGATCTGCCGCCGTGGGTCGCTTGCGGGGGGTGAAGGCGGCGGCGCAGCCCCGACAGCATCTCCAGGGCACTGCGGGACCGAGCGGGGCGGGGGCGGGAGCGGGAGCGGGGGCGGGGGCGGAGCGGAGCGTAGCGGAATGGGGCGGGCGGGCAACGCGGCGTGAGCGCCTGGGATCCTCGCGCTCCGCCGCGCGCCGCGGCGCCGAGACGGGGCTGCACACGCCGGTGCCTGCCGCCGCCCACGAACCTGCCGCCCGCGCCCGGCGCCGCCGAGCGCCCCGCCCCGTCCCCACAGCGGGAAGCGGCGCGGCGAGACGGCGCTGCGGGCGCGGGGCGGGGGTCCGGGTCGCGGCGGAGGTCAGGCAACAGGATAGACGCCTCTCTGAGGCAAGGGGGCCTCTCTCCGCCATCTTTAGTGTGGCCTCGGCTAAGATCCGGTCGTGGCGGCGCCATCTTGAGTGTGGCGTCAGGGCGAACTTCCGGACCGGGACCGCCATCTTTAGTGTGGTCGTTCCGGTCCTGGCGGCGCCATCTTTACTGTGGGCTTGGCGGACTTCCGGGCCGGGGCTTTGGAGGACTTCCTGTCGCTCTCTACTTCCGGTGACCGAGTTTACCCAAATTAGCGTCCCTCCTCGCTAATTTCTGCGCTTTCGCCCCAAAAAATCTTCATGTTATTCCCCCCACACACACCCCGGGAGAGACGGGAGACCGCGAGTCCCGCCCTGCCGCCGGAACCGGCCCTTAACTCGAGCGGGGAGCCCTGCACCAGCACGAGAGCCACTGCGCATGCGTCGGCGGTCCCTCTCCTGGCTACCCTTACTTACCACGTGATCGCCGGCGTCTTGCCAACGACTGCGCACGCGCCGCCGTCGCCACCTTGCCTGCCCCCCCACCCCGCCGCCCGACCGCCCGGCTTCGCTTTCTTACTGCGGCTCCCCCTCCGCTTTTTCGGCTCCCTGGGGTTCCCCCACCCGCATTTTGGGGTCCCCTTCTCACATTTTAGGGGTGATGACCCCGCAATTTACGGTTCGGGGGGCGGGAGGAGAGGAAACGGGGTGCCCAAGAAGGGGTTTCTTTTTTTTCTTTTTTTTTTTTTCCCCTTTTATTTCATTTTCATTTTATTTCCTTTTTAGTTTTTTTGCCTTTTTTTATTTTATTTTGTTTTTTATATTTCCTTTTTTATTTCGTTTATTTTTTATTCTCTTTATTTTTCATTTTCTCTCCCAGTGCTCCCCAGTAACACCCAGTGCTCCTCAACAACCCCCAGTAACACCCACTGCTCCCCAAAAATTGACCCAAAACCGACCCAAATCACTCCAAAAGCTGACCCAAAACTGACCCCAAAAACTGACCCCAATGATCCCAAAAGCTGACCCAAAACTGACCCCAATCATCCCAAAAGCTGACCCAAAACTGACCCCAAAACCTGACCCAAATCATCCCAAAAGCTGACCCAAAACTGACCCCAATCACCCCAAACAGTGACCCCAAACTGACCCCAAAAACTGACCCAAATCATCCCAAAACCTGACCCAAAACTCTGCATTTATTTGGCACCATTTCCTCCCAGAAACAACATCTCCGATTTAGTTGATTGCTAAAGCCATCATTTTAAAACCATCTCAGGAATCAAAAGGCACTGGAAAACACACACAAAGCATTCCTGCACCCACCAAATCATTAGGAATTGGAACCCGATTCCCTCATCTCTCTCCTTGTGCTTCTTGGCTGGAAAACCTGATGATCCCCAGGGGTCGAGGGTTGATGGGGGTTTTTTGGGTGGTTGTTTTTGTGTTGTGGGGGGTGGTTGTGGTGTTATTCGGATTTTTTTATGTATTTTTAATGATTTTTAATAA